TCGAATAGAACACAGCAACGCCACCCAAGAGACTTAAGACCAACTCCGCTCCGAAGCAATTTTGTGAGCCCAATACTGGGGATTAGAGAAGAACATGAGAGATCTTATGCCCAAATCACTCCATACCCAATGTTTCTGCTACCTCCTCTGGTCTCCCCTGGGGAAAATCACTAAGACTCTGTCTTTCTTTAAAATGGGAGCTAAATTAGTAACTTGTCACAAAGGAGTGTTTTCTTAATTACTGGCATACAAATTGCTTGATATTTTTGAATGAAAGATATCAAGGAGAAAGCCAGCTATTACCATGTTCTAATAAAAAGCAGTAGGCCAAAACCTTTACTATTTTTTGGATTATGTTTTAGTTCAGTGAGACTTTAGAAATGGCCTCCTAAGGCCCTGACCGCCATTAGTATAAGCAGCATTTCGGAAATCAGGAGAGGCCAATGTCCCCAGGCTGATACTTGATTGAGATGGAAGTGCAATCGGGAGAAAGAGCAGATTTGGGAGACAGAGTGAGAGCATGAGAGGTGGTCTTGTCCTGGGCAGCCACAATGTGAAAACAGTCATCATTTTTACCCACGGCTCCCTTGATCAATGCTTGGCTGGAGCAAGGCTTGTGTTTGAGGGCTAGCTCGGTGGAGGTGTGGCACCCAGACTCATTACCGTTAGCATCACACTCACACCCTCTTGTTCTGAGGCATCAGACCTGATCACAGGAATCATAAATAAACATGGCTAGACTCAATATTTCCTACCAGAGACAAGATTTCCTCTGCATTATCTCTAAGGGCAAGTGGAGGAAAGGCTCTGCGAGGGAACTTTCCAGACAAATGCAATCACCGCAGTTTTCTCCAAACCTTACTATAGCCAGGGCCCAGTCCTGCTCCCACCCATCCTGCCCCACAACCAGTACCATAGTGAGCCTCGCTCATTCAAAGGGTCCTGCTCAGGAAGGGCCTGTTAGTCAAACCAGCCTGCCTGGGGGTTTGTGCTGATGTGATTGGCTCTGATTTGCTATTGCATCTTTGAATCATACTGTGATTGTGTCTTCAGTAGGAATGTGGGCTAAAGAGAATATAGTAATTATGCTAGAAAATTGGTGGCATTAGAATAAGGCCTTGGAATGGTTTCCATAGAATTCCTTTGATCAACATATTTGCTCTGTTGGAGGTAATGCTATAGGATGCTTTTGAATAATTAGACAAGTTCCATAATTCAATGGGATGGGAAGGGAGTGGAAGTCTGTTGCTAGCAGACTATGGTGTACATAGAGTTGTTTATTCGTTTTGCTAAAAAAATCTTCCTTATGAATTTCAGTGTATTATATTTTGCTATTAATGTCTTAATGATAGTGACAGGAGAATGTTTAAACCCCATTTAGCTTCTGACTCTCTATGTAGAAAAACTATTTTTCCTCCCATATGCAATTTTTTGTCCATTCATTAATTGAATTGCTGCTTTCCTAAGTTTATTTACTGCCTTCTAAATATGTATCTTAATTTACACTTCTGGTCCCACTGGGAGCCTATAAAATGTAAAATCTTATATAATAGCAGAAGCAGTCGCAAATATTTTAATATCCAGGGCAGCTTCTGAATCCTAATTTTGCAGATGGCACGAAGTTCATTTTATAGCAGCTATTGAAAACTAATAAATGCCATCCACATCACTCAGCATTGTCAATAATCCACCAGATTGTGTGCCTTGGGATGCTGGGGAAGCAGGAGCAGCTCCCGGTCCGTCCCTAACCAGCCTCCAGCTGCAGGCCCTAGAGCTGCCTTGCCTTATCAGCTGCCACAATTCTATTCAGGTCAGCAATGAGGCGAGTCTTTTTTGAACTTCTAATCTGCCAGTGGAGAGATACTCATAAGAGGATAATTGCTGCTCAGAGCACGTAAGGGAGTGAGGTGAGCTGGCCCCTCCCTGCTAATTCCATTTGCATTCCTCAAATGCAAGAGAGAAGTGGAAGAGAAGGAGCAGCAGGGAGGTGGTGAGTCCACCAACAAGTCTGGTCAGAAGCTGGTTGAGAAATGATAGACTGAGTTTGTGTCCCCTCCAAATTCATATGCTGAAGCTCTAATCCCCCCACTGGATGGTTTTTTGGGTCTTTAAAGATGATCAGGTTCAGATGAGGTCATGAAGAAGGAACCCTTTTCGACTGGATCAGTGCCCTTATAAAAAGAGGAAGGAAGGTGCACCAAGGAAAGGCTCTGTGTGCACATGGCAAGAAGCCGGCCTTCTACAAGTCAAGAGGGAGACTCTGGCCAGAACTCCCCCCTCCCCCACCCCTGTGCTGATACCCCCATCTCTGGTGATCTCCAGAACTGTGTTTAAGCATCCAGTCTGTGGTATTTTGTTATAGCAGCCTGAACTTATAGTCATGCATTGGTTATTGTAGTTCTTCATTTTTAGGCTGCCTTTCCTCCCATCACTTTAAAAATAAAGAATCACACTCAATGGGAACATGTAAGGGTTCAGAAATGGGTACGGTGTCTGTCTCACTTATCCTTCCATTTTTTATTTTGCCAAATAGTTATCAAGTCCCTACTGTGTTTCACTGTGCGTGATGTCCGTGTGCATATGAGATAATGCTACAAATAAATTAAACATTTTATGTGTTATTAACTTATATTTAGTTGCAAGCTTATATAAGGCATTCCTAAGTAATCCCTGTCCCCAAGGATCTTCTAGTCTAGAAGGGATATTATAACAGTAGTGAGTTTATGCAGTCTGCTCTACAAGAATGAGATTGGAGAGAGGAAGTATTTCCAGCCTCCAAGAGTTTGGGGAACAAGATCGGGATCTTGTTGTGGGGGAAATGCCAGTGGGACAGGGTATTATATGCAGAAGGTGGTCATTGGGCTTTGTAGTCCTGAGAAGTCACCTGATATCATCAGAGTGGTGGCCAGTCCCCTTTCCTTTTTCTCCTCTTCTCCTCAGGCAATTGATTGTCCTCTTGGGAAATCTCTTTTGCTCTTCCCTTTTAAGGCTGCTTTTGTGGCTTCCTTAAACTGGATTTCATCTGGATGCAAATTCAAAAGGATCAAGAGGGTAATCTGCTTTTAGACAGTCCCAGGAGATGGTCTGGTAAAAGCTAGGCAGAGCAGTGCATCAACTTAGTTTGATGAGATGTTTAGTTCAGAGAAATCAGAGAACATAGAGTCCCAGAGCAGCTTGGACCGAGGAGCAAGTAAATGTTCCAATCAAGTTTTGTCTTTGGATTCATCTACCTTCCCCAGGCTGGAATTACTGGGAGAGGAAGCCTGGATGCAGGAGCTTTTTGCTTTGTGGTGTATCTGACCTTAAATAGTCTGTGTCTTTTCAAAATGAAATGTTGCATGCACATTTCCATTGTGAAGAAACAAATTCAATCAATCTTCCATAAGATTTCATCTTTCTGTCTTCTTTTCTCTCATTCTCAGTTTTATGCAAAGAAGTGTGAAATAAATGAGTCAAAATACACGAAGACACATGTCATTGCTCCTTGACAGGTCATTTTCTCCAGTGACACTGTCTGGGCTTTCATTCCAGACAAGCTCTCCACACAGGGCAGAAGGACATGAGTCAGATAATGAGCTCAAGGTGTGGTGTAGAGAAACCACCAAGGCTGGATAGAAGTCTTCCCATGAAGCTGTGTGCTAAAGCTCTCTGCAGTTTTGGGCTGAGTCTTAGGGCTATAATAGGAGTCAGGTGCATTGTGGCAAAAATCCTTTCATAGGTGAAACCAAAAAAATGTTAGTGCTATAAGACAAGAAAGGATTTCTGATTCAACCACCTCGTTATGCAGATAAGGAAACTGAGGCCCAGAAAGGTTAGGTGACTTGCTCAAACTTCTGGCAATTGACTATAGATGCAGCTAGGATGAGAAGTCAGAATGGAGTGGAGAATGGTAGTCATTCATATTTGGAATCATCTAAGTAAAAGTGTTCAAACAGTGCCTCTTTAGGGCTAGATGCAGAATGTGGAATATTTCCCTCTTCCTGGGGCCAGTAGAAGGGAGCGGTATCCAAATAAACTGTTCCAAATGTGCTTTACTGCTTCATTCAGTGCATCAAATAAAATGATGCCCTTGTTGGTATATCATCAACTGGCTGCTTAACCATTGTGCATCCTTGATCTTATGAATTCAATGAGACTGTGCCTAAGCAAGGACTTGGGAATACTGACCTGGTGGGTTTAATTTTTGAGAGAGCATGTATACTTGAATTAGTCTAAATTAAATGCATGTATAAAACCATTTGACAACAATATCACATATTTTTAAGGGAGTTGGAGTGATGATTAGAACAGGTGTGTATGGGGCCCTCTACCACTAGTAGAACAGATCCTAGCACAAGTCCTGGTGGTAGGCCCTGTTGAATGTGTATTCAACAAATAGGGGCTATTTTTCCTCTTCTATGGCAGTTGAGGTTCAGTAACCAATAAGCCAGACCATTGTATTCTGGGGAATCTGTATTTAAGTGGCAAGACTCCAGCCCTGGAAGACTGGTAGGTGAAAGGTACTCCCAGTTTTCTGCCAAGAGAAGGTTCAGTAATAGTTCTGTTTTCCAAGGAACCAGAAAATGGGTTGAGGAATTGTCAAATTAAAGAGAAGGTCTAAAGCAGGAAGTCTGTCGCTGGGGCCGGACCATTGTGGTAGGCTGGGCTAGAAGATGAGGAACCAGGGGTCCAGACCAAGTCAGATACCAGAGATCTTTGAGAACACCACCTCATTCGAGGTCATTTTGTAAGAGAAGTCCTCACTGATTGTTGACAGTGGAGAACACCAGCCATGGGGCAGGTGGGTGGGAGTGGGGGATAATCCTCAGTCCTCTTGGATAAGTTTTGGGGAGACTAAGACATCAGGAGTCCAGATGTGATCTGGAAGCCTATCATCTTTATACTGCTGTGTAGATACATTCTTCTTAGCATCAGTGTTCCTGGAGAGAGGGAGAACAATGGGCTTTCCAGTGCATTTGAACCTCAGGGGAGAGAATGTTCATAGGGTTCCAGTTCTAAAACAGTGAACAGGAGTAGTTCATCTATGAGAACACACTAGAAACAAATGACATCTAGGATCCAGAAAGGGCAGGTAAAAGTACTTAATTCTGCCTGGGGGCTGTGTTGTATACACTCAGATATAACCTCATTCAGACCAATCTGAATCAAGTGGAGGAAAAAAAATCCATTTTTTTAAGGTACGCAAATTTTACCATATTTAAAATAATCATCCTGGATAAGTGAAGAGTTGATAAATGAGCTCAATCTGCATACTGACTTGTAAAAGTAGAGCTGTGTATAATTACAAGATTGCCCTAGGGGCCATTGCTTTACTCTGCTGAGTGAAAAAGGCAATGCTTTGTAAAATGGCAGGCCAGGGTGCTTGCGGTTAAGCAAAAAAGGAGGAATTTCATCTCAGGCACTGCTCCTTTGCTCTGTCACCAGAAATTGCCTGAGAAAGTCCCAAAAGAGAAACGTTATTCTCCATTCTAATTGAATGAATCCAGTCATTACCTTCTGAGATGCATAGGATTTTCTTTTTATTCACGTACATACACAGAGTGGCATGAAAGGGCCACCTATATAGACATGTTTAAAAGATGCAAGGTGAGATTATTCAAAATCCACTGAAAAGACGGGAATTCCATTAGGAGGGAAAGAGAATGCAAGTGGGTCTGAGAGAAACAAAAATCCTTAAGAAAGATGAAAGCAGCCAAGGGAAAAATGTTATCTGTCATCCACCATCATTAGCTGTGCACCTCCCCATCTTACACTCACCTCATCCATTAAATACATTCTGTCCTCAGCTTCTACCGTTCTTTGTCCCTCATTATTCATTAAGTTTTTTCTTTGAACCTTTTGGATTTCTCTTTTGAAACTACCCTACCAATGGAAGAATTTTGAAGGCCCCGGCTCATGTCCATATTTCACACTGAGAGCCAAGAACAGGGCTTCAAATCTTTTGGGGGAATGTGAGATGAGAGATATGAAAAAAAAAAAATTAGAGAACTGACTGTTTAATTACTTTATTCTAAAATGGGCTTCAGCACAACATCTGCTTCTTCTCAAGCCCTCTGCTCCCCCCATTTTAAGGTGAGCTTAGTTCTTTTTATATTAAAACTGGATCATTATATTAAAACTGGATCAAACTGGTGATAAATTTTAAAAAGCTTATACAGCTGTGGCCAAAGCTCCTGTACTAAAATTCTTTGGGAACTAGGTGGTTCAGGAAAGCAATTGCTTAGTGACATTTGAGAAGTCAGTTAGACATTTCCATCTCAACCCCAGAAAACAGTGCTCTTCAATCGTAGCACATCAAATAAGACTCACCATGGGGCCACTCTTGCTTGGCAGTCTCTTTGGATGCATTGTAGCGGGTGCTTACTTGTGTCCCCAGATTTATTCTTTCCATTTTCTTCTGTAATTAGGCTCTTTGAATTTTAGCAAGGTACAAGGTTGTACAGAGAAAAGACCACACTTACAGATTACCTAGCTACCTTAGGTGGCCATGTGGCTAGATTTTAACCCATGGAAGGTAAACAGATGTCTCATATCTTATTTTTTCCCACTCCACTGAAAAAAATAAAGGTTTATTATTTTCCACATGTAGAGAATTTGGAACTGGGCAGAGACTAGGTCAGGCAGCTTCATGGTGACAAGACAGCAAGAATCATGGCTCTTTCTTGATTTTCCTTTTGGCATCCGTAGTGTGTAGATGGTTCCCTCAGCTCTGAAGGATGGTCCCTTCATCTCCAGCTGTCTGTCTGCATTCCTGCAGGAAAATGGGGGCAGGGAAGGGGAGACAAGAGCTAAGGATAAAAGTCAAAAGATGCAGGAACTTTCTAAAGAGGCTTCCAAAGCCTCACATTCATGTGCCTCTCATTAGCAGAATTTGGGCAAAGGATCACCCTTAGAAGCAAGAATTCTGGAGAGATGAATATTCTTTTTTTTTTTTAAAGATTTATTTAATTTATTTATTTATACAAGAACCGGAGTACATGCCAGATGTGCGGGAGGGTGAGAGGATTCTCCAGAGACAGAGTGGGGAGCAGAACAGGCAGATTGACGAAATACACTGCTGAGGGGAGTCAAGGGTGAGACAGGAGAGGTCTGCCACGCCATGTGGGACCCTTACCAGACAGCCGGGATCGAACCCGCGCTGTAGAGGCTGCGGACAGCTTCACAGCACTGCGCTCAACTGCCTGCGCCACCAGGGGAGGCCCGAGATGAATATTCCTAATTGGGCATCTTGATAACCCAAATAAAGCTTGATGTTTGTTGGTAAGAAAGGGTGTTGATTGCACCCAAATCAATATTGGATGCAAATTAACAATGTTTTCTTACAGTTTTTTATTTCCTCACCTTAAAAAAAAATTAAAGCATGGCATATTAATTTCCTTATTCTCACACCTTCACTTAGTTTGAGAAGGAGAGGATTTATCAAGGTCAAGTATGGGGTTCAAAGCCAGCTGTGACCTCTCTGCAGTGATTTACCCAGAATGATTGGTTTCCCAGGAAGGCCAATGCTGCCAAGTTTCTGGAGACCCAGATGTGGCCTTCCTTTTCAGAGGAGGCATTTGACAGCCACAGGTTCCTGCTTGATTTTGGATGTGCAACTTAGTAAATCAGGTGGGGAAAGCAAGATCCCACCTTCAAGTCTTGGCTACTTCATTTTAGTCAGCTCCCACCTCTGTTTAAAATGCAAACTGGTTTGAGTCCATAAAGGAATTTTATACTTGGGTGTATATAGGGCAATCTCGAAGTGATAGCAACTAGGGTTTTTGTCACTTTGCCTTGTTTGGGAGGCATCTGTGTTGTTCCCAATAGGCTATGACTCCTCAGCCACCACCAGAAGTCACTGAGTCTGCAGCGTGGACTACAGGAGGATCTGTCACCTCTCCTCCAGCTTCCCAGATGAGCACTTCCCAAGACACTCGGGGCAGCAGGGTGCACAGACACCTGCTTTCTATCAACAGACAGATGAAGAGATGCATAGGACCATGTATGGGGAACGGACAGGAGCCTTCACGCCCTCTCCATGGGCACCATTCACCCCCAAATCTCCCCAAGTTCCATACTTAATTTTCTGGCTGAGATGCAAATGAGAAGGCAAGAGCTGGGTCAGCCATTTTGAACTAAGAGAGTAATAGTACATGAGATTTGCTTAATGTGAGAAAATAAGAAAATGGAGAGCTGTGGCGAAGAGCGTTGGGTTAGGAGTCAGTATATGGCCATGGAAGGACCTAGTCACTTGGCTCATGTATGAGTTTTAGAAAGTCATATAATTTCTCAAGCCAATCAATGTACTCAAATACTGAATGATGGTAATAAGAGGGCTCTGTCTCACAGGGTGATAGTGGGGACTCAATGATATCATTCATTGAGGAGCTATTTGTAAAGTATGAGTCATTTTAAAACTGCAGTAGGTTATGGCTGACATAATTATAGGCAAAATAAATTTTATCCTACTGAGTAAAAGCGGATATTTTGATGACGATATCTTATAGGAGAAGCATCTCAATTTACAGACTTCTAGGGAGAGAATAATAATATCAGCAGGAGGAATCATTTGTTTTCAGGTCTTAAAATTGCCCAAATTATGGTAGTCTTCTGGTGACCCTATACTTTTCCCTGCAATGGAAAATTCTGTTGTCATCAGCAGCAGATGGATTTCCCATCTTGACATCTGATGAAGAAAATTATTCTGCCAGGAGTCAGACAGATGTGTAACAGTTGTACCAACATGTGACAAGTTGATTGTCATGGGAGATGTCTGTTCACCTGTATTTGTGAGGTTGAATTTGGAGAGCCTCAATATTATAAAGCTTGACGGCAGTTGTCTATGATTGTACTCATGGAATGTGGTCTAGTTTCATTTCAGAATGACCTGATTCATCCTTCACATATTTGATGAGGGGACCACACTACTGATGATCACATGGGCTTCTCCTGAGTATGGCATCTGAAGTCTGAATGCATCACCTGACCTTCTGTGGAGTGCTGAATGCAAAAATGACCACCATCCAACTTTAACCCATTCTTTTAATCAGTACCTCTGAAGTATCACAAAGCAGCTTTTGAGCCATGTTTTTTTTTTAATTAAAGATTTATTTATTCATGCATACAAGAACTGGGGTACAGGCCAGATGCGTGGGAGGGTGAGAGGATTCACCAGCGACAGAGCAGGGAGCAGAACAGGCAGATCTACTGAAATACACTGCTGAGGAGAGCAGCAGGTGAGTCAGGAGAGGTCTGCCGTGCCATGTGGGATTCTTTCTCACCTGCCGGCAGGGATCGAACCCGCCTGCAGAGGCTGCGGGCAGCTTCACAGTGCTATACTCAACCACCTGTGCCACCAGGGGAGGCCCAGCTTTTGAGCCATGTTTTAAGACTATGTAAAATGTCTGTCATATAAAAACTCCTTAAAATGAGCAGTGCCACTGGAAAATACGGTCATTGGTGAGGTACTGTTATATCTGTTATCCATTTTGTTCCTAAAGAATTAAATGTATAAAATAGCATTAATATGGTTTGTTCCATGAAGTGAGCCTGTTGAGAGTTGTATAAAGATTCATAAGCCTTAGGATAAGACCTGGCAGTCAATCCTTGGCAGAGGGTAAGAGGAAGATCATGCCATAGCCTCAAAACTAGACAAAGACTGGTAGTATCTCAGACTATAATATGGATAATGTTTTCTGGAAATTTAGCAGAGAAGCAAAATTGAAACCTCCTATGACTCTGGTTAGATTATATGCTGGAAATTTTATCCTTAAAAGCAGAGTATCTGGGACCTCCCTGGTGGCGCAGGCGGTTGAGTGCAGTGCTGTGATGCTGTCCGCAGCCTCTGCAGTGCTGGTTCTATCCCCGCCGGGCTCGGAGCAACCCACATGGTGAGCAGACCTCTCCTGTCTTGCTCACTGCTCCCCTCAGCAGTGTATTTCATCAGTCTGCCTATTCTTTTCCCCACTCTGTCTCTGGTGAATTCTCTCACCCTCCTGCGCATCTGGCCTGTACCCCGGTTTTTGTATAAATAAAAATAAATCTTAAAAAAAAAGCAGAGTATCTGGTAAATTGTTGTTTTGTTGACAATTTCATCGTTTAGAAGTTAGAGGAAGCAATGAGGAGAATTTCTGCTTGACTCAATTCTGACCAATAGAGAAGAACTGGCTAATGACATAAAAGTGATATTTTGGCAGAAATTGAAACTTGAAATTGATAATAACAAGAGAAGAGTTAGTAGCTAGAGACATAGTCTACAATTTATCAAAGCAAGAAAAATAAAATGCATAATCTAGTAGTGGATGATTTTGGGGTATGCACTTCAGCAAATTTCCACTTTTCTAGGAAGTTTGTCCATCAGTGACCCCATCAGTGACTATATCCATCATTGACCTGAGATCAAGTGATCAACCTGGACCACCATCTTTGCCCCCCATAATTTGGATCTAATCTTTTATCAGAGATAACCACTGACCCAAAGTTAGTTAACCCATGGAATGATGAATTAAGCTTTTAATTCATCCACTCTATAACTGAAAGGTCACAGAGAATCATAGGCAAATTCTATAACATAGAAATCAATCCCTGCTGAAGTTAGTGGGGAGCTAATACTTAGATTAATCCAGGAAAATTTATTTGTAATGAGAAGAATGGAACAGATGACAGATGACAGTGAGGTGCAGAAATGTGGATGAGAGAAAGAGGAAAGCTAGAATGCAAGGTTCTTACAAGAATGGAATCTTTGTATGTTTGTCTACTGATACAGATTTCAATAAATATGTATTGATTGGGAGGGAGGGGAAGAGACCCACTTTCAGATCTGTTACAGCTCTTTTGTTCCAACTTTCAATCCTATGAGACTCAGCCAGTCTTTGGATGCACATGCTGTCCATAATTGCCACATGAGATCTATTAATAATGACCTGTCTTTTGGGGTGTGTGTGTGTGTGTGTGTGTGTGTGTGTGTGTAATTGAACTGCTTAGAGTAGGTGTTTGTGCTTTGTAACCAAAGAATCTTTGATGTGTGCAGAGATTCTAAAAGGGGATACCCAGTTTAGGTTTTCACTTTAAGACTCTTTCCCAGAATCTCAGCTAATCAAATCATTCTGTCCTGTGTCTGATGCTTCAAGAAATCTTCCTCCAATATTGAATCATTTTTAATCTACTAGGCAAGACATCCTTAGCAATGAGTAGTCTAATCATTCCTTTAAATAACTTTTCCCCTATGTTTCTTCCCAATTGAGGTTTTGCTCCTCAGAAAGCTTTCCTATAAATACCATTCTCCCAAATCTTTAATTAGACATGGTGTTTTTACTGGACTTGTTTTTTAAGCCTTTCTTCATCTCACATGTGTCAATCCAGAAAACTAAATTTACCCACCTGTGACTTCAAAGTCTCAATGAATGACGTTGGAGACACCACAGTGAGGCAACTCAGCATCCTAGATTCCAGAGCACAAATGGAAACACCATTTCATATATCTCTGAAAAGTCCATATCTTCTGGAGTGTAGCAAGAGGAGAAGTGAATGTATTCACACTATTCTCTAATCTCTTTATCAAACTCTAAGTTTATGCTATTTGGTGATGTCAAGTTTGTGATATTTCTTTATTGTGCAAAATGTGAAAGTAACTTATCCTTTTCCTGTGATGTCTTCTTGCCATAGGCTTAAAACTTGTACTTACTCGGAAGTTGCAAACTGGGAAATGGTCTTAATTCCTGCATCTGTAAAATGGAAATATTGATCTAGCTGGTGAGCTCAAAGATTCCTTCATTTCTTATGATTTTATGCAATGTATTAAGATCAAGTAAGATTAAATAGCAAATGGAAAATGGTGGTATAACCTCAGTTGATATGGCCGACTGGGCCCATCATGATTGAACCAGAAGGATTTAATTTGTTTGGGAAGGAAACAGCCTGCTGATCAGAGCAGCTGAGTTTTTCTTCGTGGCAAAAAAGCTGAAAAATGACAAACTGAGATGTTTAAATCTGTTCTGACAGGTTCAGAGATTTTGAAGCTGAATCACATTACAGGTCTCTGTCAAGCTACTATGGAAAAACCAATGGGAAAAGAATCAGTCTATTTGTGGTGATCTGCAGGTTGCCCAATGAGAGCTTTGACCTCTTCAGAGTCAACGTGGCAAGAGTATGTAAAGGAACTTATGATTGATCCAGCTTCATGGTCCATGATAGACCATTAGATAGCACAACTACTACCTGAAAGGGATCTATCTGTCTCTTTATGGTAGATGCTGTTGCTATTGTATGGCCCACTGTGCTTTCAAAGTTCCTGTTTGCTCTGTATAGAAGGCAACATTAGAAGAGGTAGTATCAGATTGATCCTTCAGATGTCTGAATAGGAAAGACTCGAGTCTGTCTTTTCTATCCTTTTCCTTCTTCTCCTTCCTTCACTCTCTACCTTTCTTCCTCTTTACCTTCCTCCTTCCTCATATAACCTGTCTTCAGGTTATATGATAGGGGACTCCTTATACTCTTTTCAGAGAGAAATTCAACCCTTAAAAAAGTCATTTCAAGGGAGATAGTTGACAACCAGGGAATTAGAAGGTCAAGACTATTTACCAAATGGAAGTAAAAGGAAGTTGCATGTCATACCCAGCTTGTCCCAGGCCCTTAAGGCTAGGCAGTCTAGAACCTAAACAAAATGTTCTGGGTGTGTTTAGCAGGTTTTTCTTGGCAGTGATTCAGTGGAAGAAACTGCATGGATATTGGAAAATGCTGTAGGCAACTCCTACTTAGGATATAGTAGACATGACGTCCAAAGACTTTACACCATCTCCTCTTCAACCCAACTCATTTTAAAAACATGTATAATCTTTTAAAAACATGTATAATCTTTTAAAAACATGTATAATCTCTTACCAAGACCCAAAGACCCTGGGTACCATAGGAACCAACGCCAAGACAAGGGTGGTCAGCTTGAATCCAAACCCTAGGAGACAGTTGAGGACCTGAGCATTTATGACCAACATAATGAGCCACTGGATGGCACTGTGGGTCCATGCAAATATGTATGGGAGGGTATTTATCTTTCTTTTAAAAAGACTGTTTAGTCTTGACAGGTAATTTGGCACATTTTGAGTTGAAATGTGCCAAATGATTTGGCAAATATTTCACTACCTCTGAAAATAGGCACACCTGCTGTTCTGGTCTTCAGGGAATGAGAAGGGTAGGTTTCCCTTCATCCCTCTGTTGTTGCTAATTTCAGAAAATGAAACCAGATTTTGGTCAAGGATATATGGGTCAACCCCATATGTTAAATGTGGTACCATATTTTAAATGAATAGAAATAATTCACTATTTCTTATAAAACCAGTCTCTTTACTCTAAAGGAAACATCATTTCATCTCCCCAGTGTTGTCCATCCTGCCAGTAAGTGGTTTATCTGACTCATGGCCACATGGAATGGACTTTGGTTAAAGAGTTATATCCCTTACTGGCCCTCCAATCGAGAGAATCTAGGAAAATTTGTTTAGAAACTTTCCTGTTCTAAATAGTTGTCTGCCTATGTTTAATGTGTTTAATAGCAACAAAAAGCTGAATGGTGTGAGAATGTCTCATAAGGAACACATGACTGCCTCTTGGCTATCAAGAAACCTCACTCTGCAGAACATTATGGTGATGATCACAACTACTGGAGAACACTGATGACAGGTCAGGTTTTGCGACAACAAACTGCATGTTAGGTCAAGGTCCTGGGATGCTAGATTTAACTCTACATGCCATTTATTACTCAAGAGAGCAAATTGGGAAGCAAATGAGTAAAAGTGCTATTATTACTGGTGTAACTTTGAATTGATCTAATTTTCAAATTGGTAACACATTTGCAGTCATAATTACTGTTGCTAACATATCTAAAAGATGACCTGTGACCACCTCTATGCCCTGAACATATAGGCTTGGAAATAGGTGAGTTAGAAAGGAGAGATTCACAATTCTCCTTTTTGATATTGTCCTGTTATAACTTACTGATAATAAAGGGCACATCCATTGTGTCAAATCCAATCCTGGTTTGAAGTGCATCAGAGGAACATGGTATTATAGAAGGATTCTGACTTTGAATTATGAGGGTTGGCTTGTCATCCAGCTCTGCCAATTCCAGCTATGTGATATTAGGTGAATCATTAACTCTCTCACCCATTTTTCTTTTTTTAAAAAAATTATTTATTTATTTTTGCATAGAAATATAAATGGGGTGTAAGCCAGAGGTGCAGTCAGTGAGAGGTTTCACCAGAGACAGATGGGGAGCAGAACAAGCAGATCTACTGAAATATACTGCTGAGGGGAGCTGCAGGAGAAACAGGAGAGGTGTGCTGCACCATGTGGGTTGGCTGAGACTTAACCCATAGGCCACCAGGTAGTTCCCTCTCACCCATTTTTCTACCTGAGTATGAGGCAAGACATTTATTTATTTATTTATTTTTTATTTTTTTATCTTTTTCCTTTTTTTTTTTTTTAAATAATAAATTTTATTTTATATTCCCCATACAATTGCAAACGCCCCATTCTGACCCCAATCCTTCCCCTCCCGCCCCCCACCCCCAAAAAGTGTCTCTGGTTCATAGTTTTTTGTTGATTTTGATTTTCACTTTCTTATATTCATTTTCCTGGTCCCTTATTTAAGTTTTCTAGATTCCTGCTATGAGTGAGACCATCCGGTATTTTTCTTTTTCATTTTGGCTTATTTCGCTGAGCATGATCCCTTCCAGCGCCATCCATGTTGCTGCAAATTGCATGTGTTTATCTTTTTTGAATGCTGAGTAATATTCCATGGTATATATGTACCACATCTTCTTGATCCAGTCATCTACTTTTGGGCATTTGGGTTGTTTCCAAAGCTTAGCTATTGTAAACAGTGCTGCTATAAACATAGGGGTGCAGGTGCTCTTTGGAATTGATGTTTCTGTGTCCTTTGGGTAAATACCTAGGAGTGGAATTGCTGGATCATATGGAAGCTCTATGTTTAGTAGGTCCAGAAATCTCCACACAGCTCTCCACAGTGGTTGGACCAGTTTGCACTCCCACCAACAGTGCAGAAGAGTTCCTTTTTCTCCACACCCTCGCCAACATTTGTTGTTGCTAGTTTTTTTAATATGTGCCATTCTCACTGGTGTGAGATGGTATCTCATGGTAGTTTTGATTTGCATTTCCCTGATTACAAGTGATGTTGAACATTTTTTCATATGTCTGTTGGCCATTTGCATTTCCTCTTCAGAGAAGTTTCTTTTTAGCTCTTCTGCCCATTTTTTGACTGGATTATTTTCTTTGTTGTTGCTAAGTCTCATCAGCTCTTTGCAGATTTTTGTGATCAGTCCTTTATCATTAGTGCTGGGTGCAAAAATGTTCTCCCAGTTGGTGGGGTTTCTCTTTGTTTTTGTTATTGTCTCTTTTGCTGTGCAGAAGCTCTTTAATTTGATGTAGTCCCAGCTGTTTATCTTTGCCTTCACTATCACTGCTTTGGGTGATGTGTCTGTAAAGATGTCTTTGATGTGCAAATCCCGTAGTGTTTCGCCTATATTTCCTTCTATGTATTTTATGGTTTCAGGTCTTATGTCTAGTTCTTTAATCCATTTTGAGTTGATTTTTGTGTATGGTGTGAGGTAGTGGTCAAGCTTCATTCTTTTGCATGTAGCGACCCAGTTTTCCCAGCACCATTTATTGAACAAACTTTCTTTGCTCCAATGCATAGTCTTTGCTCCTTTGTCAAAGATTAGTTGACCATAAATCTGTGGGTTTATTTCTGGATTTTCTATTCGATTCCATTGGTCTGTATGTCTGTTCTTGTTCCAATACCATGCAGTTTTGATGATTATGGCTTTGTAGTATAGTTTGAAGTCTGGGAGTGTGATGCCTCCATTTCCTTCTTTTTTTTTCAGTAGAGCTTTGGCTATTCGGGGTTTTTGGTGATTCCATATGAATTTCATCAATAATTGTTCTATTTCTTTGAAGAATGCCATTGAGATTTTGATTGGAATAGCATTGAATCTGTATATTGCTTTTGGTAGGATGGCCATTTTAATAATGTTTATTCTTCCAATCCATGAGCAGGGGATGTCTTTCCATTTCTTTGTGTCTTCTTCTATTTCTTTTAACAGTGTTTTATAGTTTTCTTTGTATAGGTCCTTTACCTCTTTTGTTAGATTTATTCCCAAATATTTGATTTTTTTTGTTTCGATAATAAAAGGGATGGTTTTTTTGATTTCTTCTTCTTCAGATTTATTGTTTGTGTATAGGAAAGCTACTGACTTTTGCGTGTTGATTTTGTATCCTGCCACTTTACTGAATTGATTGATGAGTTGAATTAGTTTTTCTGTGGAGATTTTGGGGTTCTCTATGTATATTATCATATCATCTGCAAATAGTGATAGTTTGACTTCTTCTTTTCCTATGTGGATTCCTTGGATGTCTTTCTCTTGTCTTATTGCTCTGGCTAGGACTTCCAGTATTATATTGAAAAGCAGTGGTGAGAGAGGACATCCTTGTCTTGTTCCAGATCTTAATGGAATTGCTTTCAGCTTTTCACCATTGAGAATGATACTGGCTGTTGGCTTGTCATAGATGGCCTTTATGATGTTGAGGTATGTTCCTTGTATCCCAAGAATTTCAATGGCTTTTATCATGAATGGGTGTTGCACTTTGTCGAAAGCTTTCTCAGCATCTATTGATATTATCATATGGTTTTTATATTTCTTTTTGTTGATGTGTTAGATAACGTTGATTGATTTTCGGATGTTAAACCATCCTTGTGCCCCTGGAATGAATCCAACTTGGTTGTGGTGAATTATCTTATGGATACATTGTTGGATTCTGATAGCTAAAATTTTATTGAGGATTTTTGCATCAGTGTTCATTAGGGAGATTGGCCTGTAGTTTTCCTTTTTTGTGTTGTCCTTATTCGGTTTTGGTATTAGTGTAATGTTGGCTTCATAGAACGTGTTTGGTATTGTCCCTTCCTTCTCAATTTTTTGGAAGAGTTTGTGAAGGATAGGCACTAATTCGTCTCTGAATGTTTGGTAGAATTCATTTGTAAATCCATCAGGTCCTGGGCTTTTGTTTTTGGGGAGGTTTTTGATTTCCATTTCAATTTCGCTGCTTGTAATTGGTCTGTTTAGGTGTTCTATTTCTTCTTTATCTAGCTTTGGGTGATTGTAGAGTTGTAGGAATTTGTCCATCTCCTCTAGATTGTTGAACTTGTTTCCATATAACTGTTCATAGTAGTTACTGATTATTCTTTTGATTTCTGCTGTGTCTGTTGTGATTTCTCCTCTTTCATTTATGATCCTGTGTATTTGTGCTTTCTCCCTTTTTTCCTTTGTGAGCCTGGCTAGGGGTTTGTCTATTTTATTTATTTTTTCAAAGAACCAGCTCTTGGTTTCATTGATCTTTTGGATTGTTTTTTTAGTTTCAATTTCATTTATTTCTGCTTTGGTTTTTATTATTTCTTTTCTTCTACTGGTTTGGGGTTTTTTTGTTGTTCTTTTTCTAGATCTTTGAGCTTCGAGATTAGGTTGTTTCTTTGAGTTCTTTCTTGTTTTTTGATGTGAGCTTCTATTGCTATATATTTTCCTCTTATTACTGCTTTTGCTGCATCCCATACATTTAGGATATTGGTGTCCTCCTTGTCATTCAATTCAAAGAATTTTTTAATTTCTTCTTTGATCTCCTCGTTAGTCCAGTGGTCTTCCAGTAGTGTGGCTTTTAATCTCCATGAGGTAGGATAGTTCCTTGTCTTCTTTTTATGATTTATTTCTAGTTTGATGCCTTCGTGGTCAGAAAAGATGGTTGGTATGATTTCAATCTTGGTGTATCTGTTGATGTTTGTCTTGTGCCCCAGTATGTGATCGATCCTGGAGAATGATCCGTGTGCGCTTGAGAAAAATGTGTACTCCGTTTTTTTTGGGTTTAGTGTTCTATAGATGTCTGTTAAGCCCAAATGCTCTAGGTCCTTATTTAGAGCTTTAGTTTCTTTACTTATTTTTTGTCTTGTTGATCTATCCATTGTTGATAGTGGTGTGTTGAAGTCTCCCACGACGTATGTGTTTTCTCTGATGTCTGTTTTCAGAGAGGACAACAGTTGTCTGATATATTTTGGTGCTCTTTCGTTTGGTGAGTATATGTTAATGAGTGTTATTTCTTCTTGAAGTATTGTCCCCTTAATCATAATGTAGTGACCATTGGGGTCTCTTTTTATTTTTTTGAGTTTGAAGTCTGTTTTATCTGATATAAGTATAGCTGTTCCTGCTTTCTTTTTTGGCCCATTTGCTTGTAGGATTGTTTTCCATCCTTTGACTTTGAGCCTATTTTTATCTTTTGTAGCTAAATGTGTTTCCTGGAGACAGCAAAAGGTTGGGTTTTGTTTCTTAATCCAGGCTGCAACTCTGTGTCTTTTTATTGAAGAGTTTAGTCCATTTACATTTAGAGTTAATATTGATATGTTAGCATCTGTATTGATGCAAGAAATTTAAATGAGCTCCTACGGCTACAAAATATTGGAACCTTATTTAATTTAGATAGCCTCAACAAATCTAATATCATCTCAGTATATGTTAGAGTCATGTGTAGCAGTAGTGAAATAGGTGAGTAGTTTAAATAAAATTTACACTGCTTACAATTTCCTTGAACACAATAAAGACCAGTGTAATGCTGAAATAAAT